GTGGTAACAGCCTTCACATGTGACTAAGTCCCGCACGCTAGCAAATGAAAACTTTTGGTGGGAGAATTGCTAACTCAGGAGCCTTAGAAGCTAGGCAGCTTATATTTCGAGGAAATGTTCCCCGTTTAAACATAACACTAAGATTTCACACTCAGCATGCAGTTACGCATGGTACTCACCTATCGACACGTGAAAGTTTTGGTAGGAAAATGCTCACTGAAGAGCTGGCTTTTTCAAGGAAAGACCGTCAAATGGAAATTATTTATTCACCCCTGTGCAAAATTTACGATGATCTACGCTAGAAAGCGAAAATGGTAAATTTAAAGCAGCAACCATTCATATAGTTAAAATCTTGTCTGCTTCAAGTTTAATGCAAAAACGCATTATCGCACCCGTAGTTCTGTTGCGCCGCATCCTACGATTTCACTGAATTGTAGCTGCTTCAGGATTTTGCAGCCCAACGTGCAAGCAGACTATCAGGATGACTTGTACTTGTGTATTGAGATGGCATGAAAGTGTTCATTGCTATTCGACTCAGTCAGTGCTCACTAACGCAATTTGTTATCAGATACTGCATTTTCAGATTAGCCGAAATAATCCTCAGTCTCAATGGCACTAAACTGCTAGCTTCGCACTAGAAGCTCCGAGAGAAAGGATACTGCGCACAGTATCAACAGCACTGCCAACCGAACACCAGCAATTTCAAAAGAGAATAGCTAGCAGCAGTGCTACTCGAACTGCGCTTGAGATCCGAGGACCGAGTAAATTTACTTCAGCGAATCCACTCCAGCATATTGACGATGATGATTTGGAAGTGAAATGCAATGAATGGATGGAGACGAAGTACGCTCAGAGCGAAAGGCCCCCTTCTTGAACACTTGAGTCCAAAGTTCACCACTATTAATAAACCTCATTCAATTGTCTTAATCTCTTAAAATGAAGCATTGCCGCGAAAGCTGTTTTAATAAGTGATGGCTGAGAGTGCATTTTCTTCATCAGACTGAGCCACACAACTGCAGACTCTACTAGCCTATTGCCAGCAGCGCTCGATAATTTCAACGACATTAACGACAACGACGACTGCGAGGTTGATGGTGATGGCAGTGCTAGTGGTACTGGCAAATAATTTCAGCTCATAATTATTTTTTATTCCTGCTGCTGCGCTCAGCTGTTCGGCATCCCGCTCCCAATTCAACGCACATCCGAAGTTTTTTATATTTTCGGTCGCATTCCCACTGCATTCCGAAAAATGTTCCAATTCCTGGAGAACACTGCCAGTGCTAAGATTTTGCTTTCATTAAATACACTTTTATTTGAGCAATCCAATCAATTAATTCCCAGTCGTCCTTGGTTTGAAAATTCTAATTTCGTTTTTCTGCGGTAATTCCAGCTCTTCTTCCTTCGTTCTCCGGCTGAATGTGAATGGGCGGATGACAGCACTTATGAAATTTAACCATCATTCTACTCTGTTCTGTTCCAGTATTTTCCTCCTGTTCCATGCTGTGACGAGTACGTCTCTGCATTATAGCGACAACAATGATAATAACAATGGCTGTAGACAGTTTTCACTAAACAATCGTCGAGTTTATGAATGTATAAACGTAACGTTCCGGAGCATTTCGCCAATTCCCGCCGGAACTATGACTCTGAAAATCGCCAATTCTGCTATACCACGATTGTCGCTACTTAATAATAAAGATCTCGTTACTGCTGCAATTAATTTTTGCAATCTTTCCTATGTTTCTCCTGAAGCATTCATCTTTGCAACCAATTTACGTAAACTTGATTTGTCGCAAAATTTGCTCAAAAGCCTACAGTTCCACAGCGATTCATATTTTGCCATAGAAAATTTGATTTTATCTGGGAATCAGTTCCGGGCTGTCCCGGATTTGCATCCGCTCCAGTTGCTAACGCATTTAGATCTGTCACACAACAAAATTACCCATCTTACTGACAATGATTTATCGTTACCGAATCTGCAAGTAATTGACCTGTCACATAACGAGCTGCAAAGCCTGAAACCGACTAACTTTGGTGATATGAGCCGCATTCTTTCTCTGGACGGAAATCCATGGCGTTGCGACTGCCAACTACGCCAATTCATTGCTTATCAACGCAAAACGCTAACTGCGAAATCATCAAGCTGTCATGAGCCGGTACAAATTCGTGGTACAAAATGGGGCGATCTCAGTTTAATGGTAAGAAAGATTTTCGAGCTTCAAAACCAATCTTCACATCCGCCGCTTTCAAAAACAACAGAGAGTAAATCAACCTGTTACTTGTTCTTACTTCTTAATTCCAAAATCAAATATACTAAAAATCAGAACTAGCGAACGTTCCACCGCAGCAACGCTGTGCTGAGGAGATGGGGAAGAGAGCGGTATGAAGGAGCACTAGGAAGTGGAAAAGGAATGTCTGCACGTCACGCATCGCTTCGAGATCAAAGCGGTCTCTTTATCTTTCTCGAACAAACTCAAATTGACCATAACGAATGAATCCCGCAGGATATACATTTCGCTTCACGCCTTGACTTAAGTGGTCTTTCTTTTCACATTATTTTTTGCAAAGCATTTCTTCTAGATGAAATCTGAGAAGCAGATAGGCCTTCGAATGCGTAAAGTAGCAAAAGAAGAACACGTGCAAACTGAATTATTGCAATGGCGAAACTGATATCGACTTTTTCAGATGCACACCACACAAGTTGGGGAAAACGCTGTAATGATGATTCCTCCTCGCAACCGCACGTAGAGATCTGTCTGTATTTACCCCAAAGGGAAGAAGCACAGATAGCACCATGATCTGCCCATTGCTTCATACAGTACCTTGATCCAGTTTCTCAGTCCTATTATTTCCCTGTTCCCAGTGAAACAGGATGCCATTAAAAGCATCCATACCATCGAGGCAATTGGCATGTTCCGCTTGCGCAATCCGTCCAAAAGCCTTCGACATTACTGAGGTGCTGTACTTATATCAGTCAGCATTTACATATATTAGCTACAAGACCGAAAAGCAATGCATTTATACGCACCATACAAACACAACTGGAAAACTTTATACAAATCGTGGTCAATTAGCCTACGTTTTCTTGATGCTTCTGCTTCTGTCTATCATCGAATTGTTCTCAGCGCGTTGCACTACTGACTGAGCAGAGTGACGTTATCGGCAAGAAAATCCCAAAATAGTTCTCCTTTTTGCTGCATTCATCCATTTTCATGGGTTTTTGCTGTGCAGCGCTATAGCGCTGCCACAGCCAGCAAAAACGCATATTGTCAAGAGGCTGTCTGTATGTGTGTGTTCGGAAGCGAGTGCATTTTGTCACCCACATTCATCTCAGCAACCAGGAAAGCTGGGA